GCTCTCACTCTCCTCGGCATTCGTGCTTGCGGAAGATAAATTGGTGCTAGTTCATCATTTTACCTCTTTGTCTCTCATCCTATTGCACGTTAATAAATGCAATTAACAGGCATAGATGGATTATCTCTGCCACTTGACTAATGTATCATTTTTATGTCAACGGAAGGATTACAAATATATATATAATTTTCTTATCTTAGATATGTTGCTTAAAGTTGAATCAATTAAACATGTTAAATATATATTGTTGATTTATTACATGTTCACTTTCACATGACACGAGTATCAACTAACATTTAAAAACTTGTGGCTTTGTTTATATTTTTATTTATGTTTTACCGTTTGATGGTATACTCTTCTACTCATTTTTGTTGTGTAAAATTTATACACTTGATTTAACTTGAGTGGGTTAAGATATATAATGAACTCATCTTATAATTTGCATTTTTTTTAGCGTATAACTATTTTTTGAAAAGATGAAAATTTTAAGTTGGAAAATCAAATGACATAAAGAGTAAAAAACAAAATAATAATAATAATAATCACTACCAGAAAAAATTAATTTAGCCTTGGAAATTGTCTCGCAATGAAATCCTGAGACTGTAAAAAATCACTACAAAGAAAAAATTATTTTTTAACAAAACTTTTTTTTTTTTCTCTAAATCTATTTTTTCTGTTACTAATGACATTAGAGACGGAATTAGGAATGAAATTAAGCTACGTGAACTTTAGGGACAGAATTCCGTTACGAATATATATATTTTTTTTTGTAGTGAATACATATATATATATATAAAATATTCACTGCAAAAAAATAGTATATTAGTAACAGAATTTCGTTTCTAAAGTGTATGTAGTTAACCCAATTTCCTCTCTAATTCCGTCTTTAATGTCTTTAATAACGGAAAAAGGGGATTTAGAGACCAAAAAAACTTTTGTTACAAAATTGATATTTTTTTGTAGCGATTAAATGAACTAAATTTTTTCTCTGATTTTCGAAAGTCATATTAAATATATATTTTATTATATCTAATGATATCAGAATCTCCGAAACCATATTATATATATTACTCCCTCATCCGGCTTTTTTCGTCCAAATATTTCTATTTTTGTCCCTCAAATCTTATTTGTCGTTCACTATTTAGGAAATATAATTATACACTTTAATTACATTTAAAATTTCATAACATATATTTTTTTAATCTTAATTATACTATTTAGTTATCTTAATCTAAATATATAGTAAATTTATATTTATTATAGAATAATTATTTTTAATAATATATTTTTAACGGAGGGAGTATTATAGTTTATAGAGAAGGATAGAAATTTCCAAAGCCATGTTATATATATTATTTTATTATATAGAGAAGGATCGGAATTTCCAAGACAATTATATATATTATTTTATAAAATTTTCTAGCCTTTCAAATGGTCTCCCAATATGTTAATAATCTTCAAAAAGTTCCGAGCCTTTTCAAATAGTATAAGAATTTCCGAACTCATATTATATATATTATTTTAGTTATACTAGAAAGGTTCGGAAACTTCCGAACCTTTGTTATATATATTATTTTATTTAATTAATAAGCTCCGGGAATTTCTGAACCCTTAAAGAAAATAAAATTCTCGCCTGTTTCTTCTTCTTCTCCTCCTCCTCCTTCTACTTCTTCTTCTTCTTCTATTGTGTTATTAAACCTTTTCTTTTCTCAACATGCAACTGATATAATTATTGTATGCAATTTTTTGGTATTAAAATAAGGGCATTTGATTGGAGAATGGATTAGTTCTCCATGATTTTTGGATGTTGCCCCTAACTTTGAGCAAATTAGATTGGATTATAAATCGTTATGTCAACACTTTTAAAATTTGATATGATATGATGTTTGTTACATTATATGATAAAATTTGTTTAAATTTCCTAGAACCACCGATTAAAGTTTGTTGTAAATCTAATTTTTTGGAGAATATTTATGTCATTTCACCACAAAAAGTTGAAATTTAGCTACAAAATATTTTGTAGCAAAAGTTAATGAATTTTTAGCAAAAATATTTTTGCAACGAAATAAGTTTCGTCACCTATAAAGAGTAATAATTATAGGTACATTCTAGGTTGAATGTACCTGGAGTAACATGAGTTAGTAGTTAGTATGTATTTCCATGTGAGATATTTTAGTTATTTAGTTTTGTATTAGATTTGGTTGTATCTATTAGGTTAGATTATTATGATTAGAGTCTATGGAGTCTGTATGACATGCCTATTTATAGGTTTCTATTTTTATTATGAATAATAATTTAACTTTTTAGTTTATATAAAATTAATTTACATGATATTAGAGTTCTAGGTCTCGAGTTTAAGTATTACCGTCCCCATCAAGCATATATCCACGTGCAAGTCTTGCATATATCCCCTTGCACGTGAGGGGGGCGTGGAGACTCCCATATGTGGATAAATAAATTAATGATATGTATCTGTACTAGCTTAAGCTCTTAGGTGAGATGATGATTCCGATCATCTACATGGTATCAGAGAAAAGAAAATATTGTTTTTCTTTTTTTTTTTTCAGTTATTTTTGTCCATTAGCTTTCCTTTTTTTTTTTTTTTTTTTTTTTTTTAAAATTTGGATTGAAAAAAGTATGTTCAATCATACATAAGGCTAAAACAGCTCATATTGTTCTACCCACAACTTGAGAGTATTATATTTTAAAAAGAAAATTCAAGTAATATTTTCAACATAACGAAATACAAAAATACAAAAAAAAGTTTCTTAATAATATCCAAATAAGTTTTGAATAAAAGCAAATTAAATTTTAAAAGTAACAAAATCGGAATAAAGTTGGAAATAAATACAAAATTATTACAATCATTCCCAATGCAACTGACATTTTAATAAAAAATAAATATAAACACTAGAAGACGGGAATTTCACCCAACCCAAGACCCAACCCTCAAGCGCTTGATCTACAAGGGTTTGACTATGGAGAAAACATTGTCGGTATTTGAGAAATGTGCAATACATAAAGGAAGCACTAATGAATTGAGCAGATATTGCATGCATAGAATCGATGCTTTAGCCTGCCAACTTTGTATTGGATCAGGTTTTCACACAGGGCATGATGTTCGGCCAGTTCGCAAGCATGTCTATAACCCCGTCCTTCATTTGGAGAAAAGGAGGCAGATTGATTGTCTGAAAATTCAGGTATATAATAGTACTTCATTTTAATACCATAATTGATTTACACAAATTTAGGGTAATTTACTTAATTTTCAATTTTTTTTTTCTGTGTGTGTTTTGATTTGTTAAATTTTAGTTATATTGCCAACGTAAATAGTGTTGAAAATGGAGGTAAAACAAACTTTCAAAAACTAAAATTTTAGTTATATTGAAACTTAAATAAATAAGTTATTTTATGACGGACTTATAATTATAACTAATAAAATAAAAGTTATTACAGTATAAATTTAAAAATAAAATAAATAAAAAGAAGAAATGAGTTTTATATTGGATAAAATTCAAGTTGCGGCATGATTGGGTGCTGAATTTTTTAATTCAGCACCCATGGTGAACCTTATAATATATTATATATAATTATATTAATTACATTATTTAATTATATAAATTAGAGTAATTAGATTTTAAGCAATTCAGCACGTATGCTGAAATTAAAATTTCAGCATATGATCCTTCTTCTTCAAGTTGTCCAAGACAGGTTGGTCTAACACACTTTAACATGGGCCAATATAACAAATTAACATTTGGGTTAGATCCTAAGATTTACTATGGGCTTTATTCGGACTCGTTTCTTGAAAACCATCTTACGTTTGGCCAGGGATTATTTTGGTCTAAAACTAATATATGGCCCATTACTTTACTATAATTTTTTGTAAGAAATTATATAGGTGAAGATATCAAACATAAATTACTCAATTGGCCAGGCCAACTTAGCTTATAAATATTTGGTCTAATTTGAGAGCTGGAACCATTATGTTTATGCCCATAATTGAGCTGCCAAAACGTGGCGCTTTGACTAAACTCGTGGACATGATAAGCTGAGATCTCCCAGGGAAGGCCTACACTTGCCTGGGTCTTAACCCACCCCGGTGAAAGAGGTGAATATAAGGGTGTCATTCTCTTTTTTCATCACTAAGATGGAGCAGATTTTTTTAGTATTTGCTAAAGGACAATCAGCTACGTCTAAAGGAAGGATACAAAATGACAGCGAATGAGGAGCTGAATGGGAACTCGTACTGAAATAGGCATAAAATTTATGGGCATGAAGTCAAAAATTGTATCGTGTTAAAAAATATAGCATAGAAGGCCATAAAGTAAGGTCACCTCCGGCTGCCCGATAAACCTGAAATGATGGTTGATACCGATGCATTCCCCACACCAATAAACACTGTCGGAGTAAGCCCGACAACGCCTTTAAGGTCGGGATCAGGATCTTAAAAATAGTGTTTGAGAGGTTTCAAAGGTCGATTAAACCTCCGAGAAGGAGCTCAATTTGGGAGAGACTTTCCCCTACCAACAGGATTGCGAAAGTAAGTTTTGAGAAGGGCGGAGAGGTCTGGTAAGTGACCTTAGTGGATTAAATGTTGGATTAATAATCCTGACTATGTAGATGAAGACCAAGTCAGTTAAAGTCTACAACAGGAGGATCACGTGTTGCAAAAGTTTAGGAGCTAACTTACCATTATTAGCATAAGTAGTTAAATTTGTTGAGTTATTATTGGAGTTTACCCATTATCAAGTCACTGTATATAACATGTCTGTAATTTCATTCATGAATTACAGTCTCATTTTGAGCAGAATAAAGCTATTCCTTTGCCCACAGTATCTAATTCCTTCCATCTCCTCAATTATTCCTTGAATTCAGGCTTTCACCTGGTATCAGAGTAAGGTTTGTATGCCAAAATATCTCCGCCTTAATCCGATGTCGATCCTTAGACATGAAGCGGCAGTAAAAGACAACGGCGGGGTGTCATTCGTCTATCCGCAATGGACATCGACAAATTTTATACCACGTGGGCGATCAAGGTGGAGGCTATAATGGAAGCCCAAGGAGTATGGGAGGCCATCGAACCAGAAGAAGGAGCGGCTGTGGAGGGAAAGAAGGACAAAGCAGCGAGAGCACTTCTTCTCCAAGCCCTTTCGGAAGATCTTCTGCTGCAGGTTGCTCAGAAAAAGATGGCCAAGGAGGTTTGGGACAGCCTCAAGACGAGGTTCATAGGAGCTGATCGTGTTAAGGCAGCGCGACTGCAGACGTTGAAAAGCGAATTTGATGGGTTGCGGATGAGTGAAGGGGAGACATTGGAGGAGTATGCAGGAAAGCTGAGTGGCATGTCGGCAAAGTATACCAGCTTGGGAGCTACGAACGACGCAGAGATGGTAAAGAAATTGTTTGACACTGTGCCTACTAAGTATTACCCAGTCATCGCAAGAATCGAACAATTCTGTGATCTCACCACGATGCCTTTCGAAGAAGCCGTTGGACGTCTTAAAATGTTCGAGGAGCGAATACGCCAGACAGCACCTAGCGGAAACAACGGCAGTCAGCTACTTCTTGCCCAGACAGATTGGAAAGGACAACAGTACCAAGGTGGCAAGGAAAGGAACCTCAGTGAAGTAAGCGGCAATCGCGGCCGGGGTGGACGCGGTCGCGGGAGAGGTCGTGACAGAGGTGAGCACACCGAAACTTCACGCAGGGAGAACACAAGAGGCTCTGGCGGAGAAGGCCGTGACAAGAGCCATATAAGGTGCTACAACTGCAACAAGGTGGGGCACTATGCATCAGAGTGTTGGAGTAAACAACGAAAGGTAGAAGCCAACCTAACGTGCACAGAGGAAAATGAGCCGGCACTCCTGCTGTCAGCAGCGGCAGAAAGAGAGAACTGAGCTCTATTGAGCAAGGAACAAACAGACGCGAACCAAGGGCGAAGATGGACCCGGTGGTGACATTTGGTACTTCGACAATGGAGCAAGTAATCACATGACCGGAGAGCGAAGACACTTCCGTGACCTGGATGAGTCGGTACAAGGAGAAGTGAAATTTGGGGATAGATCCAAGGTCCAGATTAAAGGAAAAGGATCTGTATTATTCCAGTTGAAGGGCGGCAAGCAGACTCCTCGATGAGGTATATTATAACCCTGATTTGCGTAATAATATCATTAGTTGTGGTTAGCTGGCCGAAACAGGAAATAAATTGGTGATAGAAGGGGAGCACCTATGGATATACGACTCGAGTGGAATCCTGATCATGAAGGTGAGATGCCATTCTAACTGACTGTACAAGGCTACGATCACCTCCTGCAACCCAGTATGCTTGATGGCTAACACTTCAGATCATGGATGGCTGTGGCACGCTCGGCTCGGACATGTCAACTTCGAGGCCTTGAGAAAGCTGACAGAAAAGAAAATGGCAATTGGAGTACCACTGATCACACGTCCGAACCAGCTATGTCAAGGATGCCTTATCGCTAAGCAACCACGACAGCCATTCCCAACATAGACGCAGTACCGAGCAAAGAACCCACTCAAACTATTACACGCCGATCTCTGTGGACCAATCACTCCCTCGACATCATCCGGTAACAAATACTTGATGTTAATTGTTGATGATTATTCTTGGTGGATGTGGAGTTTTGTGATCAGTTCAAAGGGCCAGGCGTGTAGCATATTCAAAAAGTTCATACAGCAAGTGGAGACTGCCAGCGGGTACCGAGTCAAAACAATGAGGACCGATCGTGGCGGTGAATTCTTATCAACAAAGTTCACCATGTTCTGTGAAACAAAAGGATTTCAGAGACATCTAACCGCTCCCTACTCGCCACAACAGAATGGAGTAGTAGAGCGCATAAACCGGACAGTAATGGCGATGGCGAGATCTCTCCTCAAAACTATGCATGTCCCGAACGAGCTTTGGGGGGAGGCCGTAAGACATGTAGTGTACATCCTAAACCGGCTACTGACAAAAGCACTAGACGATAGTACACCATTTGAGATGTGGTGCGGAAGGAAGCCAAACCCCGCTCATCTCAGAGTATTTGGTTGTACTGCTCACGCAAAGATTACGACACCCCATCAGAAGAAACTCGATGATCGCAGTCAGACAATGGTGTATCTTGGTGCCGAAGAGGGCTGCAAGGCACATCGCCTTTTCAATCCTCACCAAAAGAAGATTCATATAAAAAGGGATGTCAAGTTTGAAGAGAACGTTGCATAGAGTTGGGATGCAGACACATAAATCAATGGAAGCCAACCTCTTACTGTCGAAGGATGCCAAATCTGGAGACCTCAGTCAGATCAAGTACCAGAAAGACCCTCGGAGGAAGATCCAGCAAGTCCCACAGTACAGAGCATGCTAAAGCTAGGACCATCCGTACCCGAACCTGTTACTCCAGTTGTGCCTATATCACCATCATCAGGAGAACGCTCCACCAGTACTGACGACAGAGCCCTGCGCTTCAGAAAATTGATTCAGTAATACGAGATGCTCGAAAAGTGGAGCTTCAGGAAGAAAATGATGAATATTTACTACTCTCTGACATGGAGGAACCATCTCACTACGGCGAAGCTGCCGGACAAGCCGCCTGGGAGAAGGCAATGGAGGATGAAATCAAGTCAATCGAGAAGAATACAACATGGAGTCTCGTCGACTTACCACCAGGACACAAACCCATAGGACTGAAATGGGTTTACAAGTTAAAACGAAATTCAGATGGTGAAGTGGTTAAGCACAAAGTAAGGCTCGTTGCAAAGGGATATGTACAACGATATGGCGTGGATTTCGAGGAAGTCTTCTCACCTGTAGCCAGACTGGACATGTTACACGTAATCCTTGCCATATCGGCTAATCTGGTTGGCAGGTACATCGTCTTGATGTAAAGTCAGCCTTACTGAACGGCGATCTTGAGGAGGAGGTGTACGTGATGCAACCAAAAGGGTTCAAAGTGAGGAATAAAGAACATAAAGTCTACAGGCTACACAAGGCGTTATATGGGCTTCGACAAGTACCAAGAGCTTGGAATATCAGATTAGACAGAAGCCTTAAGAAGCTCGGCTTTGCCAAATGTGCGCAAGAACAAGCCGTCTATACCAGAGGACAGGGACAATCAGGTATCATCATTGGTGTATACGTCGATGATTTGATTGTCACCGGAAAGAGCCCGCAGGAGATCAAAATGTTTAAAAGATAGATGATGTCTGAGTTTGAGATGAGCGACCTTGGACTTCTCACATTCTATCTCGGGATAGAAGTGGCACAAGAAGAAGGACAAATAACTCTCAAGCAATCAGCATACGCCAAGAAGGTGTTGACTCAATTTGGTATGACAAAATGCAACGCAACTAAAGTGCCGATGGAGCCAAAGGCATATATTCATAAAGACCCAGATGGAGAGCTGGTGGATCCAACCGAATACCGACGAGTAGTTGGATGTCTAAGGTACTTACTACACACCCGTCCAGATTTATCATACTGAGTAGGAACTGCAAGCAGGTTCATGGAGAGACCTACAACTATGCACCAAAAGGCTGTGAAGCAAATCCTGAGATATTTAAAGGGAACAATTCAACATGGATTGATCTATCAGAAAGATGGAGTTGGAGAAATCATCATCGGATATTCAGATAGTGACATGGCAGGAGACCCAAATACAAGGAAAAGTACTGGAGGGATGGCGTTTTACATCAAAACTCTCTTGTGACGTGGAAATCACAGAAGCAGAAGACAGTAGCCCTATCATCATGTGAAGCTGAGTTTATAGCAACAACATCAGCAGCTTGCCAGGCATTATGGCTAAGGAGTTTATTGGGAGAATTGACGAAACAAGAACTCAAGCCAGTAAAATTGCTCGTTGACAACAAATCAGCCATTGCTCTGATGAAAAAATCCTGTTTTCCATGGGCGAAGCAAGAACATTGACACTAAATTTCATTTCATCCGAGAATGTGTCGAGCAAAAGCTAATTGAAGTGGAGTTTGTTCGGACAGATGAACAGTGTGCCGATGCTCTAACCAAGAGTCTACCAGGAATACAATTGGCAACAAAGAAACATCTAATGGGCGTACGTAAACTCGAGCCATGTCAGGATCAAGGGGGAGTTTGTTGGATTAATAATCCTGACTATGTAGATGAAGACCAAGTCAGTTAAAGTCTACAACAGGAGATCACGTGTTGCAAAAGTTTAGGAGCTAACTTACCATTATTAGCATAAGTAGTTAAATTTGTTGAGTTATTACTGGAGTTTACCCATTATCAAGTCACTATAAATAAGCTGTCTGTAATTTCAACAGTCTCCTTTTGACCAGAATAAACCCTAAAGCTATTCCTTTGCCCAAGTATCTAATTCCTTCCATCTCCTCAATAATTCCTTGAATTCAGGCTTTCATCAAATGGTAATCACACCACAATTGACATGCCATCCCAAGAAAGCTCCGGATGATGGAAGCTGGGCCGTGAACCCAACGGAGCGGAGGTTGAGGCTTCCCTCCAGGTCTCAAAAAGAAGGTTGCGGCAACAATGCCGAGCTACCAGCCTCTATCAAGAAAGTCAGATAGGGGGCAGCAGCCGGATGATCAAGAAATAGTAGCATCAGTAAGGCCGAAATCGGACTGGGAAGATTTGCTCAGCTTTGGGCCGGAAGGAATGGAGGCCGAAGTGTCCTCTGCCAAAGGGTGAATGTCCTACCAACCAACAACCTCCTGCAATCTCCGAAATGGCCCATATTTCGGAGGATGAGCCGATAATTGGAGCACTTGATTGCAACATAGTATCATAAGAAAGTTTGGACATAGTATCGGTTGATCGGGACCTTGAACAAGCCCAACATTACTAGGGCGGATTCAAATTAAATATGATCATAGTTTTTCCTTGAGAATTTGAGGCCGACATGCGGCACAATAGCTGATCAGGTGATCATGAATGACGACCTGCTATTGCAAGATATGGAGGAAAGAGCAGGTAGGTCTCGTTGTCCATTAATGCAAGCCGGAACTCATGCCGCTTACCTTTCTGGTGAGCAGGCAAGGGCTCCTCCACAACCGCCTCTTTTGGATCAAGGTGAAGATGAGATTTACTCCCCGATCCGACGAGCTATGCCACCATTTGAGGTGCAAGATCTGATGAACAATGTCAATTTGGGGGATGAAGTTGCTCCTTAGATAATGCGGATCAGTGCTTTGATGAGTGCGGAAAAGTAGGAGAAAATGGTCATCTTGACCCCGGAGTTTAGAGATTGTTTTGCGTAAGATGATCATGAGATGCCGGGACTGTCAAGAAGCCTGGCGGTGCACCGCCTACCTAGGAAGCTGTCATATCAGGCTCCATAAATATCCTCCGTGGTGCTTTAATTCAGAACTAGTGCCAAACGTTAAAGAGAAGGCCAAGTTTGGTTTCTAAAAACACGTATGAACTCAAACATTCTAGGAAAGTAATATGATATGGAAGGCCGTCCTCCCAGAAGGCCCTAAAGTTGCAAAGATTGGAACTATAGTGCATTCTTCAGGCGTCCATTGATTGGCGCCTAGAAAAGGATCAAAGGTACTATAGGTGGGTTCAAGGTGAAGGAAAAAATTAGCCTTAAAATGGCGCAAGGATCCAAAAGCAGGTGCTTAAGTGGGCATCCATTTGAGCGGATGCCGAGCTATTTATTTGGGTTTTGAAAACAAAAATATTCGAGTTGCAAGATAAACTTTGCCCAAATATTTTTGTTGGGGGCATTTATATCCCTACCAAAACACCCCATATAAATTTGGTCCAATGCAATCAAGAGAAAATGGATCCAGTCCAAGAAGCATGGTCCTTCCCAACTCCATGCGGCTCCCACCGAACTCGAGTTAATATGAAGTCAAACTTCATCGAAAAATTAGCTATTGAAAGGAGGAATTATAGGCATAATGTCGCCCCATATCTTGAGATGTGCAATTAAGCAGACAAAGTACTAAATTTAAGGGCTATAAATTGGAAGATATAACTAATTCAAAGGGATGCCGCATGGATAAAGAAAGTGGAGGAGTAATGAGTAGAGATATTTTGTAGAAGTAGAAGATGAAATTTTTGGGGAGAAAATAAAGGAATGAGTAGATATTTAAGAGGAAAATCCACATAGAGATGAAAGGTGAGACTTTTGTGGAGAGAATTTTGGAAAGAATAAAAAGTTCATCAAGAAGGCATCAATAATATTCATTCAAACAAAGTTCTTCTTGCATTATTCTTCTTCTATTTGCACTTTATGTTTTTCTACTGCATTACTACATTTTTTGCATTTTTTAATAATTTTTTTTTAAATCGCGATTAATTACAATACATTTTTCTAATTGTAATAATTGATATTTAATAAGTAAACAAACACAAAATATAATTTATTTGAATTGATGGATTGTAATTTGTTTTAAATTGGTTGAATTAAGTAGAATTTATTTATTTATTTTTTGTTTGGAATAGGTAGGGATTCAATTATTTTAATTGCTTAGTTGGGGAGCTGGGCACAACACTTTTGTCACAAGTGGTGCAAGCCACCGGAGTCCTCACTTGAGCTCTAAGTGGCGTGTGGGATAAAAAAACAAAAAAGCAGAAGAAGAAGTCATGCTAGTAGAAAATTTGAAACTGAAATTTGAAATTGTATTATATATCCAAAATACACGCATATTTTTACCCCTATTTACTGGCGCAAACAAAGTCGATATAAGAGCTATAGTCGCAGTAGTTATACAAATGTGATGATTCCCACAATTTTAAGTAACTTAATCTTTAGCTAATTAATAAAAAAAGTCCTATTGCGATAATCCGATTTATTCATCACATTGTCCTACACTTCTTAAACGACTCAAGAATGTTGATAGATCCTCAGTTTTATGGAAGACGCTCCAATAGTGTGAGCCGGGAGCTTTTAAATTTGGAGCAGAAATCTCCATTCCCTGGATAGGCTTCTTGCACCGAGGTTACTCCAAATATTTATTTAAATACTCAAAATGTGTCTTGCCTGGCTGCCAATCGGCATTGGCGGCACTGACTTGATGCAGCACTACCACTTTGATTCTGAGGCAGTCTCTTTATCTTCAGATTATATGCATTTCTTCTCTCTTTATTGGATAGTACACTCCAGGCCGGTGACCATATTTGAAAGGCTCCGTCTGCCCCTACTGATTTTTTTTTATGTGGGCGAACGGAGAGGGTCATTCTCTGGTTGTGTCTTCAATGTATCCTCATCCGCCACTGGATCAACCTCCAATATGCCATAATAATCCGGATTCTTATTTAATTATTTTGTGGTTGTTATGGTAAAAATAAAAGGATCGATGATATTATTGATCAAAATACCAACAGATCTAGATAAAAACTTGAAATATGGCTTCGTTTGTAGGCTTAGCCCCAAAACCACTCGAAACAGAAAAATATACCAAAATCGCAACGAACACAAGAAAACTGGCCCACAACCTACGACACACATAAGAAAGAACCCCCACAGATCAAAACAAGCTAAATAGGAACAAAAGGAGTAGCCTACCAAGAAACTCCACAAAATGGGAGAAAGGCACCGCCGAGGGAACTCCGGACAAAGTCGCCGGAAAGGGACCCGGGTGAGAGAGATGGAGAGAGAGGTTAGTGATAGAAAGTTTGAGAGATATGGAATGAGAGCGGCGCCCTCTCTTTCTCTCATTATATGTACATAGGTCAAAACATAATGGATGGCTCAGATGCAAAACCTAGATCGGACAGTTGTGATCGTGTCTAATAAAAAAGACGCGGATCCTAGAACCAGGTCGGGCTATCGCAGGTCAAGGAAAGAGAAATGAGGCATGGGTCATGAGAGCGGGTCACGGGCTTGTATCATGGGCCAATGCAAAGATTTACTTGGGCTGCAAAAATAGGTGTGTTAGTGTTTTGGTGTGTGGATAAATATTGGACCAAAAAATCCAACATCTGTAACCAGGAATGTGTATGTTGATGATCTCCGTGAACTGACTCAAGCCATCAAGTCCATGAAAGAGACTTTGAGCCTCCAAAGCCAACCTGATCAGCCATATCTTTGGCTCCTGTGGCTTCATCTTTGTTGCATTTCATTTTTTGCTTTACTATCAAACACCGAAAACATAGCTAACACGCGGACATATGTCAAAATGGAAAAAGGCTTAACAAATTAAAGTGGATATATACTGCATAACTATTTATGGAATTATAATGATTGAATACAAGAAAAAATCGCAAATTTTTTTCATGCATCTATGGAAATTGTAATGATTTAATACAACTTTGCTATTTATTAACAAGAGAAATTGGAATCGAATTGTTGATAGTGTAGGAAAAATCTGATTATTTGCATCTTGTAAATTCTAATTTAATTCACTTCACTTGCAGGGTTCGGAGCAGTCGAGGCAAAGCTAATTGCTTTCCAGGTGGCACCGGAGACATGTTGCGTAATTTTAATCAATATGCTGCCTTGTGGATTTTAGGGGATCCTTATTCTTCTAACTGTGATGAATGGTTTTTATTTTTATTTTTTATTTTTAATATTCGTAAAGAGGGAGTGTCAATTTGAAGATCAAAGTTGAAAGACAGACTTATGATATGTTGGAAAAAGTTTTTTATTTTTTATTTTGAAATCATCTATTGTTTTGTGGTTTGGCTATGGTTGTATTGAGATTGCTGATAATAGTAGAGTTTCAATCTTTCTTTCTCTTGCTCTTAATTTTGTTTTTACATTTTTTACTCTCAAATTAAATAAACAAAGTACTATAAAAATACATTAATTTCTTCAAAGTGACAACATCGGAATCACGACCAGTCAATTAAGGTTAAGAGGGCGTCACCGTCAAAAGTGACAAATAAATGGAAATGATGATCAAAATAAAGACACAACAATGTAGGTTTCGATGCATCATAGTTTTGTCACAAAGCATTCACTTTGTCAAGCTACAAGTGATTGTATGATTGTATGTGCCATTCCATTGGCAAACGGCAGTAGATGGCCAGCCCCAGACACCTTGTGGAATCAGATCCCTGGCAGCTGGCGTTCCTGACCTTTTTTTAGGCTTGGGGCAAAATCATATATATATATATTAATTTCTATATTAATATAATAATTAAAAGAATAATTTTTAAATATTTTTAAATTTAAATTTAATTGAACAAAATTTGATTTAATATTTTTTAGAAAATTACTTTATAAATAGTAAAAATCGTTTTTAAAAATTTCTCCAAAAAAATGTCTATTTATTGTTTACAGAATACACAATTTTTAATTTGATCATAGTGAACAAAAGAAATAAATCAACCGATCCCTGTGGAGACGACCCTATTTACTATACTATGATTCGTCGCTTAGAGAAATATTTATTGCATGGCTAGAATGTTGTCAATTAGTTATAGTTATCAACACACGCCTAATAACCAACTCTTTCTTAATTTCTCGAGAGTCTAAGTATGCCGTCAATTGTTTCATAATTAAACTAAAACACTAGTTATGCAACAACGAATTTACCAGCCAAACCTTCTTGCAAACTAGAAGAGTCTAATTCAATTTAACAATTATCTATGCGGAATTGTTTAGAATTGATTCTCTGATTTCATAATGGTGTCTACCACTGGTGGCTACTTGAACCAAATTAAAATGTAATTACGGACTTCTAATTTAATTTAGCAATTAATCTTTAATCTAATTGAAATATCTGGCCACAATGCCCAACCAAATAAAATATTATTAAACATTAAAATTATAAATCACATAAAGGAACCAAGAAGTAATATAAAATCAAAATAAAGTCAATCTACATATCCATATCAAGTTGTTTATTTCACTCCTAAACGAAAAAAGTACTCCTAAACTAAAAAAGTAAACTGATAACAAAAGTAAACGTCGGCTAAGAATGATGGGATTGACGGGGATGAACTCAAAATCTCCTTGGAAGAATATTTCTCCTTGTTGCCCTTGGGCAATTCCTCGTTGGGATTGTTCTTCCCTGTGTTTTCTCCTTTTCAGCATAAGTGGCGCCTCCTCCCATTGGTTTTTCAGTACCAAAACTGCAATGTTTTTTCAAATGATTTCCATAAAGAGTTTTGTCAATTTGGCTATGTTGGGCGGTACACTAAAAGTCCGAGCAGAAGACATTTCTGCCGGAGAAAAAGGGAGGCGAGGCGGCCACGTGTTCTGGAGGAGATCAGAGCCACAAGATGCTAGCCGGAGCTTCAGGGAGGAAGCCATTGTCGATCTGAGAGCTATGAGAAATGATGACAGGAACAGCCAACCACCGCCGCTGCTGAAGGAGAATATCCCTCTGCAGGAACAGTATTTGTTGCCTAATATTAAACTCTATTTACAGCATTTGTTATTTTGATGACCATACAACCATGTTGAAAGCCTTACTATGATTGCTTTGATGAAGGTGACTTTGGACACACACTTCATTTATGCCGCCTAGACAGTCACTAATCGACCGGCTGAATGCAACAACAAAGACGAAAACAAAAACAAAGACGAAGACACTCCGGAAAGGCAAGGTACATACATGTACATATGCTAACATGACATATATATTTCTCTTTCGAGTGCAGAATGATTTTATTTTTTTACGAATTTTTTAGTACACAGTGCACAATCATGTCTTGACTTCTTTCGATATTTCAGGTGGCAACAACAACTCTGCGAAAGAAGGATCTTCACAGAGGTGCAATAATGATAATTATAACAAACCGTGTTATATTTCTACTAAACTTATGGTGAGTAGTGAGCAAACCATATTTCATACCCGGTAATTAATGTATATAGTGATTGATCTCAATGTAAATTTATATGTTGTGTCAGAATGAAGAAGGGATAATGAGAAACTTCAATGGCCCACCCCCTCCTCCACTGCGTCCAGCTACTACTTCCACAGTTGGAGGTATAATCAACTAATTAATTTTAGAAGTCCCATATATATAAATATATATAGATACACGTGTTATTATTTGATTATTAAAGCTGGAAGTGTACTCGTGATCAGATACAGGGTGCTACGTGGATTCTTGTATATTTCCCCCATTGTATTTTACACTTAATATGGGATATTCTATATCATCCAAGATGGTTGTATCCATGGCAGCAAAATTGACGTAGAATCGTGGTGTACTTATCACTCTATCCATTGACGTAGGATCAACAACCTTGAAACCTTGAGAACATTTCCAGAGTTCTAGATGCATGATTCAATTCGATGATACTCTTTAGTTAGTTCATAGCCAAAGTTGTAATTTTTGTAAGAGGAATATTAACTGACTCTATTTTCTGCACGTGTGTGGATTTCTAGCTTTGTAAACAAAGAATTCATCAGAAGAGTCAGTAACTTAATCCATCATTCACGCAAATATTTCAAATCCATTCATTAAATTAGTAATTCTGATTGGTTTGATGATGGTCATGATTGCGGACAGACTCTTCACTTTTGGCGCCTATAAAGACACTAATGGAGCTGCTGAATGCATCCACAGAGACAAAAACAAAGGCGCCCCTCTTGAAAGGCAAAGGTATATACATACATTAACATTACATCCTGGTTTCGATAGATATAAATAACTATCGTGTGTACATAAATACCTTGTATCAAATTTGATCCACTCCTTAATAAATATCAGGTAGCAACTGCAGGTCTGCAAAAAGTGGATCGACATGGAGGCATAATAGTGATGATAATGATAATACTAATAATAATAAGCCTCATTCCATTGCTAAATTTACAGTGCGTAAATTTACAGTGCGTAGTGACCAAATCATATTTTATACTTTTTAACACACATATATATATAGTTATTGATATCCATATAAACTTATTGTGTTAGAATGAAGAAGTTATAATCACAACAACTGCAGTAGCCCTCTTCCTCCCTAGCGTTCAACTACTACTCCTTGAACGGTTCTTAAAGGTAATATATAATCATATACGAATGATATATATATATATATATCAGAATGTGAGAACCGTGCAAATCAGCACCCATAAAATACAAAAAAACACAAGTCTAAAAAGCATGTGATGTTTGTAATAATGACGAGTGTTGCTTGTGTATAATTACATGTGTGTTGTACAAGTGTATGATATGTGCTGAAATGAACTGTTGCATGTGTTGTAGGAGACTATATCGTGTGTTGTTAGTTCATGTATTGTGTTTGTATTATATGAATATAAATGATGTGTTGTTACTAATATTACCGTGTGTTGTTTGTTAGCTATCTATTTTTGTTAGTTCATGTGCTATATTTGTATTATATTACTATAAATGATGTGCTGTCACTAACATTATAGTGTGTTATTTGGTAGCTATCCGTGTGTTATTAGTATAGTGCTAAATTTTAGATTCAGCATTGTAGCCGCCACCGCCACCGCCGAGAAAGAAATATCATTGATTGAAACATTCCCTAATAAAGATATGGAAAACCGTCCTCCCAAAAGGTCCTAAAGATGCGAAGCTCGGAACAATAGTGCATTCTTCAACCATCGGTTGATAGGCATCTAGAAAACAATCAAAGGCTCAAGGTGAAGGAAAAAATTGGCCTTAACATGGCGCAAGAATCCAAAAGCAGTTGCTCCAGTGGCTATCCATTTGAGCGTATGTCCAGCTCTTTATTTGGGTTTTGCAAACAAAAATATCTGG